CTCTCCCCTCCTCTCCTCTCCTCTCCTCTCCTCTCTCCCCTCCTCTCCTCTCCTCTCCTCTCCTCTCCTCTCCTCTCCTCTTCTCGTCCTGCTTCTGGGCCTCCGAGGGTGGCTCTCTCGGCCGCCGCGGCTGGATCCGCCTCGAATGTAGGCGGGTCGGGATGGACCCCGAGGGGTCTGGGGACCGATTTGGAGCAGATGTGGGCCTGGCGGGAGGGCCGGCGTTGTCTCCAATAGGCCCTTGTCTGAAACAGTGACGACGCCAGTGCCACCGAGACGGGCACCCGGTGACCTCGGCACGCAGCGCGCAGGGGAGTGGCAGGAGAGCGCCTCTCTCGCGCGGTGTGGGGCAGGGAAGATGGTAGGAGGGCACTGCCTTCCTGCATCGATCCGAGTTTTGGCTTAGCGGGTAACCGTCAGGGTAGCGCTGACGACGGCACGCTTTTCCGAGCTTGGGCTTCAAGAGGCGAAATTTGTGGCCATGAGACCATCGACAAACGGCCCGCCTCGGAACATCCAGTCCCAGGGATGAGGTCGGGAGCTCTGGGACCCACGTCGTGAAAAGTTCACCACGTCCGAGGTGTTGGCCTTCTGGTCCCTCTTTATGGGCGTTTGATCCTCCTGATCCTCCTTCCTGCCCATTCCTTCCTCTCTCCTTTCTACACGTCCCCTTCATTCATTCATGTCTTCCTTCCTTCACACCCTTCATATAGAGAGGGGGGGGGGCGAGGAGGAGGAGCAGGAGGAGGAGCAGGAGGAGGAGGAGGAGGAGGAAGAAGAAGAAGAGGAGGAGGAGGAGGAGGAGGAGGAGGAGGAGGAGGAGGAGGAGGAGGAGGAGGAGGGGGGGGGAGGGGAGGAGAAGGGAGAAGTAGGAGGAGGAGGAGGAGGAGGAGGAAGAGGAGGAGGCGGAGGAGGAGGAGGCGGAGGAGGAGGAGACAGGAGGAGGCGGAGAAGGAGGAGAAAGGAGGTGGACGAGGAGGAGGAGGAAGAGGAGGAGGATGAATATGAGCAGGAGGACGACGGCGAGCAATAGGAGCAGGAGGAGCAGGAAAAGCAGAGGGACGAGGGGAAGGATTGTAATGAGGAGGACACTTGATGCGAGGTGAATGAGGAGGAGGTGGTGGAGGAGCAGCAGCAGCAGGAGGAAGGGAAGGGGGCGGAAGATGCGGACGATGCAGGGGTAGGGGGGGATGAAGAAGAGGAGGGACGAGGAGGATGCGGACCATGACGAGGTGGGGATCTTGGAGGAGGGGACCCGGTGCCGGCCGCCACGCCTCCCCGGACAAGCGTGTCGCGTAAGGCGGTGGCACGAAGATGGTGAACGAGGAGACCGCCGCGAGCCTCCCGAAGGGCTGGCTGGACTACACCGCGGACCGCCCCGCTCGGAGGAGAGGAGGAGGAGGAGGACGAGGAGGAGGAGGATGACCCAGACATGCTCGCGTCGTGAAGGAAGCTTCACGAACGGGCTTCGGTGTTTTAAGGCCCGGAGGCCCCTCGCCAGGCCTCAGGACCGTCAAACAACCACCCGCGACGAAAGAAAACCTGGCCCTGCTTCGGGGGACCCCGTGTTTGAAAACGATGAAGACGTCGCACGTTTGGGGAGGTCGGGGGGGAGGAGGAGGTGCTGGAGAACCAGAAGTCAGACGGGCAGGAACCAGGAGGAAGAGGAGGTGCGTAACTACACAGGGGGGGGGCATGAGTGTTGTTAGGGGTATAAGCGAGGAGGAGGAGGAGGAGGAGGAGGAGGAGGAGGAAGAGGAATGAGGAGTTGGACGAGTAGGAGGAGGAAGAGGAGGAGGAGGAGGGGGAGGAGGGAGAGGAGGAGAAGAAGGAGGAGGAGGAGGAGGAGGAGGAGGAGGAGAAAGGGGGAATGGGGACGTGGAGGAGCTGGAACAGCAGACGCCAGACGGGGGTCAGGGAGCAGGAGGAGGATGAGGAGTACGAAGAGGAGGAGGACCAGTGCACACCCAAGACGCAACAAAGATGTTGCAGAAAACTCTGTCTTAGAAAAACAACGGGCGGAATATCCTCAATCGTGCCAAATGGCCGTTTCTGGGACTTCGACGCCGCAGATGAGCTTCGCTGTTGCGTCCTGGCAATTCTAAACGGTGCCAGAGCACCATTCTTTGGTCTTCAACACCGCGAATTAACGTTACTGCTGCGCCCTGACAATCTTAAGACGTTTCAGAATATTCAAGAGACTTACGCAGATTCCGCCGACCCACAGACGAGGGATGAAGTCAACGGGTGAGGCCTTTGGGGGCCTCTGTGGGACCCTCTTGGGGCCTCTTTTGGGCCTCTTCGGGCCTCTTGGTACTTTTTGGGGCGCCTGCTGGCGGTATCGCTGGGGCCAAACATGCAAGCATATTCAAATCGCACGCGTTCCCAAAGTATTTTGACGATTATTGCGTCTTGGGGCCCTCTCGGGGGTCGTCTTGAAGTGCTCTCTGGGCGTCTTGGAGACCTCTTGTGCAGTTTGGTTGTCTTCGAGGACTCCTGTGCGTGTTGGAACACTGCTTGAGAAAGCGTAGATCGAGTCTCAGGCATCTTGGAAGCCACAGACAGAGTGTAGAAACGGATGCTTCAGAGGCCCCGGGGGAGCGTTGGTGAGCTCAGCCCCCCCCACCCCCCCGGCCCCCCCTCTCTAATCGGACCTCAGAAAGAGAGGCCCCAAGAGGCCCCGAAGACCCCAAACAGGCCACAGGACCCCCAGCACGCTCTAGGAGAGCCACGGCGACACCAAGAGGCTCCAGGGCGGGCGTCATTCGCTCTCCTCCTCCTGCTCGTCGTCGTCATCCTTCTCCTCATCCGTCCTGCTTCAAATCCTTCCTCCCCCTCTTCCTCCTCCTTCTCCTCCTCTTTCTCCTCTTCCTCCGCCTCCTCCTCTTCCTC